GAACAGAGGAAGGACGAAGTGCCATAGTGTGCGTGCCAGGGACAGGAGGCGGACGCTCACGAGGAACACGACTACCAGTGCGACGCGCGTGAACAGGCGAGGCAGGACGAGACGCAGGCTCACGACGCTCTGTACGCGAGTCTGTCTGCTCAGTGTAAGGAGAAGGAGCCGGGAAACGAGACCCAGAGGAACGCCAGCGGACTCAGCACCCCCCGACCCAGCACCCTCTAGCTCAGCACCCCCAGGCTCCGCACTCGTAGGCTCAGCACCCCCAGGCTCCGCACCCCCCAGCACCTCACGGACATGCTCAGCACCCCCAGGCTCCGCAGCCGCAGGCTCGGCACCCCCAGGCTCCGCACTCCCCAGCACCTCATGCGCGTGCTCAGCACCCCCAGACGCAGCACCCCCAGCAGCACCTGAGTCGCTAGTGACCTCTACAGGCTCAGCCAAGGGGGGCGGGTCTACCTGAGACACACTTGAAGGAGGAGGACCCTGAGGGGGGAGGGGGTCTACCGGAGGGGGACCTGGAGCGAGGAAAAGCAGCGGGGGAGGGAGAGGGGCAGTGCGGTAGGGGAAGAGACGGTAGAAAGGAACTGACTCGTCAAAGGTGACGTCCTAAGAGGGCAGGACATGGCACGAGGTGGGGTGGTAAAACTGCCAGCCAGGTGCGTCAGGGACATCACCAAGGAAAACACAGGGAATGGTGCGGGAGGAGAGCTTGTCCGAGGACGTATCGCGGACAAGGGCACGAGCACCCCAGACCCGGAAACGCGACGCATCGCCAACCTCCCCCGTCCAACGCAGTGTGAGCGAGGTTTCCGGCATGGAGACACGGGGCCAGAGGTTGAGCTGCTGCGTGGCGTACCGGAATGCAAACGGCCATAGGAAATGGGGAGCCGCTGCATGGATCAAGGAGGTACGAGCGACGTCCATGACCAAGCCAATGCGGCGCTCAGCAACCCCATTTTGTTGCGGTGAGCCCGGAAGCGTGAACGACTGCTCGATGCCCTCTACCTGACAGAAGGCCTGCAAGAGGCCGGAGGTGAACTCACCACCTCTGTCAGAGTGCAGATGCAGGACAGGAAGGTCCTGGCGGAACCCGCGGTGGAGCTGGAGACGAACTGCTTGGATCCAAGGGATCAGGACACCAGGGACCTCACCCTTGGTGCGCAAGGGGAAGACCGTGGTGTAGCGCGAGTAGTCGTCGACAACCAGCAGAAAGTACCGCTCACCGGCCTCTCCATGAATGCGGGCTGGGCCCCACACGTCTAGGTGGAGGGTCTGTAGAGGAGCCTCTGTCGAGGGAAACGAGGAGGCGTGAGGAGCGGCGCGCTGCCGCCCCTCGACGCAAGGAAGGCAGGGCGACGCAGGCGAAGCAGGGAGGGGAGGGAGAGACCTGGGAAGACCAGACACAAGGAGACGACGGTGCATGCCACGGAGACGTGGCAAGGAGGGGTGACCCAGGTGGTGGTGTCAGAGAAGAGTCTGGTGCGACAGGGAGCGACACTCACAATGGGAGGCTACCTGACCTAACACAAACACCTGACCAGTAGCACCTACCTGAGGAGGCGCAGTCGACCGTGTGTAAAGACTCGACCCTGGCCGACGGGTAAACGTGGCTAGGTGGCGGCCGGTCTGGGAGCACGTATAGATTGCCACACTCTACCGACCAGGGGTGAAGGTGTCAACCCCCGCATCCTGGAGGACAGGAGTACTCACCAAGTTCGTAGAGAACGAGGGGAGGTGGAGACCTGACAGTGAGCTAGACGAAACCGCCAGGCACGGGAGCACAGTGGTGGACCATGCAAGAACTGGTCCCCCTGAGGGGTCAGCCAGAGAGACTGCAACAGGTGCAGGGAGTGGTGTGAGTGCAGTTTTATCACGAAAGAAGTAGCGGGAAGCACTTAAGTCAAGCGTGAAGGTGTGCAAGGCCTCAGCAGGCGCAGTACCTGAGAGAGCAGACTCGCTCGCACCTAAGGCAGCAGCCTCACCAGCACCTAGAGTTCTAGTCTGTATACCGGGGTCAGGCGGCAAACACAAGTGACAGTCTCCCTCAGCACTAATCTCCAATGCATACATTGCAGTAATAATAGCATCATAGTCAAGAGCAAAGATGTCTACACCAGCCTTAAGCAGCTCATACCAGCGAGGGCGCTCAGCGTCCTCGCCCATCTCCTCACGCCAGGCGTCGTCAAGGCGGGAGAAGCAGCGGTGCTGGGTGTGGAACTTCCCACATGTTTGACCCTTGCGGTCACCTGTGCGAATGACATACGGGGAGCGACCACCACCCCCAGACCTCCCACGTTGAGCAAGCCACTCACAAAGCTGCTGGGTTGTCTGGGGAGTCTACTGCTGCTGCTATCTCTGACCAGAGCCCGTGCCTCCACCCCGACTGCCACCTCCACCGCTACCACCGCCCTTGCCGCCACCGCCGCTGCCACCGCCGCTGCCACCCCCTCCGCCGCCACCGCCTCCACCGCCTCCACCGCCTCCACCGCCGCTGCCGACGCTACCACTCCCGCCAGCACTCCCGCCACCACTCCCTCCGCCACCTCCTCCTCCTCCACCGCCTCCACCACCACCCCCCCCCCCAGTGCCACCTCCGCTACCCTTGGCTCCCTTGCCCTTGCCGTTGTGGCGCCTCCCACCAGGAGCAGAAGCAGCACCAGCAGACTCAGCAACAAGGAGGTCAACAACGCAGCAGCAGCGAAGGAGGGGGCGAGGGGAGAGGGAGAGCACCCCTCAAATATGGGGGTGCGAGGAGCGCCACGAGCAGCAGCTACAGCGACAATGCTCTTCTCTGCTGCAAGGAGGTGCTGCTCTAGGAGGTCGACAGTGAGTTCGGTGGGACAGCGAGCGAGAAAGTGGTCCCGGACCGAGCTAAGAGCGTCAGGGAGATGGGTGATTATGAAGTGAAGCGTTCAGTTCATCGGAGGCGGGTGCTTAGCACAAAAGTCTTTGGGGAGGGCGGCGCGAAGGCGGGTGTCACTAGTGCGAAGGTGGGTAATGAGATCGGCAACTGTGGCAATCGTGGACAGCTCAGGAAACAGGTAGGGCAGCATGAGGCGGCTAAGCTCAACTATGGCAGGGGAGGAGTATCGAGCCACTACAGCGTCGTAAAGGGCCTTAGCGGTCTTGTGCTCACCAAAATGCGTAAGCTCAGCTAACGGAAGATGATTGCGAACAGCTAGGCGCGCAGCAGCATCACGAGTCTGCCACTAGGAACGGGCGCTAAGCTCAGCGGTGGCAGCGGGAGCGACTGAGGCACCTGACGTGTGGTCATTAAGAGAGACATCGTTCTTGCTATCGCACATTAGGAACAGCTGCAAGTCTTCTAGCCAGGTTTCGAACTGAATGGGGCGGGCCTCGGCATCGAACGACATAACTCGGAGGGTGGCCATAGAAGCTGGCGCGGGACTAGCAGCGCAGAGCGATTGCAGGCAAGCAGCAGTAGCAGTAGCAATAGCACGAGTGGCAGCAACGGTAGAAGCAGCAGTAGCAACCTAATGCCAGGCCCCTAGGCAGCGTGGCGCGGCTCGGGCACGGCGAGGCAGTGCGGCGCTGGCAGCAGCAGCAGCGTAGCAGCGGCTGCAGCGCTGGCAGGGCGGGCAGGGCGCAGGGCAGCGCGGGCAGGGCGCCTAGGGCAGGGCGCAGCAGGCAGCCGCGGCAGCAGGGCAGGCGGCGCACGGGGCTGCAGGGGAGCACTACAGGTGGCGCTCGGGGCGTAGCAGGCAGACGCGGCAGAGGCAGGCGGCGCGCGGGGCTACAGGCGGCGCGGGGGGCTACAGGCGGCCGGCAAGGCAGCAGGGCGGGCCGCGCGCAGGACGTAGCAGGCATCTGCAGCAGCAGCAGGGCAGGCGCACGGGGCTGCGTGGCAGCGCGACACGCAGCTCGCAGGGCGCGCAAGCTAGCAGGCGGGCGGCGCGCGGGCTAACAGGGGCTGTGCACGGGCTGCGCAGACAACGCGCGGGTCGCGCGGGCTACTGGCAGGCGGCGCGCGGACCAGCAGAGGCGACGCGCGGGCCGTACGGGCTGCTAGCGAGGTGCACGCGGAAGTGGGGCAGGGCAGAGCGCGGGGTAGCGCGACACGGGTAGGTGGTAGGTGGTGGGCCCGAAAAAAAAATCGTCCTAAGGTCCTAAGACCCTACATGCTCTTAATACCATGTTCAATAGGTAGCTAGGATGATGATGACTATCGAGAGAATTTTGGTACAAGAGGAAACCCTAAGGGGTTGTACCCTACATTGGCTACCCCACTACAGCCTAAATAATCAAGTATAACATATACAATTTGACAGAAAGACCCACGAAGGTGATGGGAGGGGAGCGGACAACGGACGAAGGACTGGAGGGTAGGGGAGATGGCGAAGGCGCGATACAGGAAACTAGCACCTGCGGAAGGGTGGCGATCGCCTACGGAAGGGAATAAAATTACGATACTATACTACGTAGCAGTCTTACGCATTCCTGGAGGGTGGATAGTTCCTTACCTTGGCCACAACACCTACGGTATTGTTGTTAGCTAAAATATGCTAGGAATAAAACTAGTGATAACGGGATGGAGAGCAGCTATCATGAAACCCAATTCCAACTTGAAACCAATTTTGGCCTGGCGATCGAAACCATCGCATGGCAAGAGTCATGCAGGTGTAGCACGAAACATGCGACAGAGGAGATCCCACTTTCAAGATGGGACATGGTTCATTATTATATATTTCTGTTTTAAATGTTCAGCTTGTTCCTTTTCAGTAGCTCCAATTAAAGGTGTGTGTATATTAAAATGTCCAAATACACATACTTTAGCTTCAGTGCCTTTCTCTCAATAATGCAAGGCTACAATGAGGAGTTCTGGAGCGCTACATTGAATGCAGACGGTTGTCAATCTCATTGCCCACGCGTTGGAAGTAAGCCATGTGGTGCAGCAGCCCCACACACACCCTTGTTGTACGGTACTTCGCCCCATAATAAGATATGCAAGTCAACAGTGAGTTGTTCAGGAGCTACATAGAGTGCAGCCGGTTGTCAATCTCATTGGCTACGCGCTGGAAGTATGCCATGCGGTGCAGCAGCCCCACACATGCTCCCACATCGCCCCTCCGAAACGCATCGTCAAAGCTGCTGTACAGCCCTTCCATTCTCTCCTGGGTCTTCACATGCAAGACACGCGGGAAAGAGGGAAACCGAAACAGGAAAACAGGAGACTCGTACATGAATTGTGATTTTTGAGGCACCTCAAAAAGAGGAGATTCGTAGAGGAGTTGTGAAGCAGAAGGAGTGACATACATGTGGCCTCTGTGATGGTTCAGGCTGCTCTGTCACGCGCACAAGAACCAGTGAGTCCAACAAAGTGGCAACTCTCCTTATCGTTTCTACCCCGAACTGGTTTTGACTGCCTGAGCAACAACAAGACACCGTCTTACCTCAAGACCTGTCTCTTCGACGCCTCACCTCACCTCACCTCACGTCACCTCACCTCACCTCACGTCACCTCACGTCACCTCACCTCACCTCACCTCACCTCACCTCACGTCACCTCACCTCACCTCACCTCACCTCACGTCACCTCACCTCACCTCACGTCACCTCACCTCACCTCACCTCACGTCACCTCACCTCACCTCACGTCACCTCACCTCACCTCACCTCACGTCACCTCACCTCACCTCACGTCACCTCGCCCTCGAAATACTGACAGAGAAACCTTCCCCACCGACCACCCAGATCTGCGTCACCAAAAATACAGGCAATTCCAGTTCCCATCCTCCCCCCACCATCCCAGACCAAACCCCTCCCCTTCTCCCCCATTCTTCTCCGTTCCCCACCTGCGACTGCAGCGCCTGCAGCTCCTCGGGGCTGTCAGCGTCCTCAACGGTCTCCCTCATTTCCATCACGTGCGGCATCCCCCCCGTCTCTTCGTCCCCCTCCACACAAAAGCAACCACACACACGCGGACGCACACACACACACCTGTGACTGCAGAGCTTGCAGCTCCTCGGGGCTGTCAGCGTCCTCAACGGTCTCCCTCAGTTCCATCACCTGCCGCACCACCACACATGCATCAGCGGGGCAGAGGGGTGGCACACACTGAATGAGTGGCGAATCCCAAGCCGCTTTGAAGGGTCAGATCTCGCAAGCACACATGCACCCTCCCCGCCAAAGCACACATGCACCCTCCCCGCCAAAGCACACATGCACCCTCCCATAAGCAGCTGCTGGTCCCGCCCCGGGCTGTCCCCACTCAGCTCTGCTGCTGTCACACCGACACCCTACCCTCCCTACAAGCACCCTTTCCCCCCAAGCACCCGCGCACCTCCCTGAGCAGGTGCTGGTCCCGCCCCAGCCTGTCGCCACTCAGCTCTGCTGGGGTGACGCCACCACCCTCCCCGCCACCACCCTCCCCGCCACCACCCTCCCCGCCACCACTCTCCCCGCCACCACCCTCCCCACCGACACCCGATAAGCACCAGCACCCTTTCCCCCCCTAGCACCAGCACCCTTTCCCCCCCTAGCACCAGCACCCTTTCCCCCCCTAGCACCAGCACCCTTTCCCCCCCTAGCACCAGCACCCTTTCCCCCCCTAGCACCAGCACCCTTTCCCCCCCTAGCACCAGCACCCTTTCCCCCCCTAGAACCAGCACCCATTCCCCCCCTAGCACCAGCACCCTTTCCCCCCCTAGCACCAGCACCCTTTCCCCCCCTAGCACCAGCACTCTTTCCCCCCCTAGCACCAGCACCCTTTCCCCCCCTAGCACCAGCACCCTTTCCCCCCCTAGCACCAGCACCCTTTCCCCCCCTAGCACCAGCACCCTTTCCCCCCCTAGCACCAGCACCCTTTCCCCCCCTAGCACCAGCACCCTTTCCCCCCCTAGCACCAGCACCCTTTCCCCCCCTAGCACCAGCACCCTTTCCCCCCCTAGCACCAGCACCCTTTCCCCCCCTAGCACCAGCACCCTTTCCCCCCCTAGCACCAGCACCCTTTCCCCCCCTAGCACCAGCACCCTTTCCCCCCCTAGCACCAGCACCCTTTCCCCCCCTAGCACCAGCACCCTTCCCCCCCTAGCACCAGCACCCTTTCCCCCCCTAGCACCAGCACCCTTTCCCCCCCTAGCACCAGCACCCTTTCCCCCCCTAGCACCAGCACCCTTTCCCCCCCTAGCACCAGCACCCTTTCCCCCCTAGCACCAGCACCCTTTCCCCCCCTAGAACCAGCACCCTTTCCCCCCCTAGCACCAGCACCCTTTCCCCCCCTAGCACCAGCACCCTTCCCCCCCCTAGCACCAGCACCCTTTCCCCCCCTAGCACCAGCACCCTTTCCCCCCCTAGCACCAGCACCCTTTCCCCCCCTAGCACCAGCACCCTTTCCCCCCCTAGCACCAGCACCCTTTCCCCCCCTAGAACCAGCACCCTTTCCCCCCCTAGCACCAGCACCCTTTCCCCCCCTAGCACCAGCACCCTTTCCCCCCCTAGCACCAGCACCCTTTCCCCCCCTAGCACCAGCACCCTTTCCCCCCCTAGCACCAGCACCCTTTCCCCCCCTAGCACCAGCACCCTTTCCCCCCCTAGCACCAGCACCCTTTCCCCCCCTAGCACACGCACCTCCATGAGCAGCTGTTGGTCCCGCCCCGGGCTGTCCCCACTCAGCTCTGCTGCTGTCACGCCGCTAGCTCGCAGCTGATGGGAGGGGCGGGGTGAGGGTGAGGGGTGAAAGGGGGGATGAGAGGAGGCGAACTGGAGAAACGAGGGAGGGCGAAAGGGGAGAGAGCCAGGGCTGTCCCGACTCAGCTCTGCTGCTGTCACGCCGCTAGCCCGGAGCTGATGGGAGGGGCGGGGGGTGGAAGGGGGGAGGGGGAAGGGGCGAATGGCGATGGGGGATGAGAGGAGGCGAAGTGAGGGCGGAATGAGGGCAAAGTGAGGGCGGAGTGAGGGCGAAGTGAGGGCGAAGTGAGGGCGAAGTGAGGGCGAAGCGAGGGCTGGTAGCGGCCCAGCTCTGCTGGAGTGAAGCACATGGGAAGTGAGGGGGCATGGCGCAAGAGGCATGAGGCACAGCAGGCGGGCTCACGAGGTACTTGGCGCGCGAGAGGAGCGGCCTGAGCAGCATGTAGTAGGCGTCTCTATCACATGCGCTGCTTGCTGTGCTGCTGCCAGAGTAGTGCCCGCATTGCATGTGGGAAGTGAGGTGATGGGGGGACTAACAAGGTACTTGGCGCGAGAGAGTGGCCTGAGGAGCGTGTAGTAGGCGTCTATGACATGCGCTGCTTGCTCCGCTGATAGTGCCCTCTCCTCCTGCACATGCCCACGCATAAGCATACGCACACACACACGCGCCCGCCCATGCACATGCACATGCACACGCACATGCACATGCACGCGCACATGCACGCGCACATGCACATGCACACGCACATGCACGTGCACACGCACATGCACACGCACATGCACATGCACACGCACATGCACACGCACATGCACGTGCACACGCACATGCACATGCATGCGCACACGCACACACACATGCACGTGAACTTGCCCAGGCATACGCACATAAACATGCAGATGCACACGCGCATGGATATCATACATGCCCACCAACCATCATTCATGCCCATCATGGGCATGAATGTGCCCAGGCATGCGCGCATGCCATAAGCAAGCACATGAAAATGCACACACACGAATATCATCCATTCCCGTCAACCATCATTCAAAATCTCAAACCCATGCCACCCATCCACATGCATGCATGCATGGCGTCACGTGCAAAGCAAGAGATGAGGCTGCTGCAGCTGCAGCTGCTACCAAGGGCGTGTGCACATACTTGAAGCTTGCAGGAAAACGGGGAGACTTTTGAGTCGACTCAAAACTCACCGCGTGTGCACATACTCGAAGCTCGCGTTGTTCTAATACAGCAAGAGTTGATGAAAGTTAGACCTTCGCAGCCCACCTGTCCTCTTTTGACAGCGTGTGCACATACTAGAAGCTCGCGAAAAACGGTCCCCTGGTCCCTTGAAGCTGTTGAATGTGAAGAGGTGGGCTTCCACGCCCCCACGCCCTTGAAGCTGTCGGAAAACTCATCACTGGCCCCCACGCTCTCCCCCATTGCACACCTCACCTCCGACTTGTCCCTGTGCTTGTCCGGCTGCTGTGCAGCTGCTACCAAGGAGCGCACCCATGCCCCTCGCCCCCCTTCCTTTGTCCCCCATGAACGTCCGGATGAGGAAAGCGAATACCTAACCACCTCTCCTCCCCCCACCCTTCCCCCACACCTCACGCCGTCTCACCTGCGACCTGCCCCCATGTAGATCCGGGTGCTGCATCTTCTGCAGCTGCTGTGAAGGAGAATGCCCCATGCACTTCCCCTCCCCCCTCCCTCATCCCACCCAGGCCTCACCCCCCTTCCCCCTCCCCCTTTCTCACCTGCGACTTGCCCCCATGCAGGTCCGGGTGCTGCATCTTCTGCAGCTGCTGCGAAGGAGAGAACCCACGCACCTCCCCTGCCCCTTCTCCCCCTACTCCCCGCTTCTCACCCCCCTTTCTCACCTCTGATCTGCCCCCATGCAGGTCCGGGTGAAGCATCTTCTGCAGCTGCTTGTAGCGCTGCTCCAATAGTGATAGGTCGACGGCGAATGCACGCGGGCTGCAGGGCGGTGGGCAGAGGAGAAGGTGGGGACGAAAGAGCGGAGCAAGTGGATAGGTCAGGCAGGGATAGGTAGCTGCTTAGGCAGCTGCTTGTAGCGCTGCTCCAACAGTGATAGGTCGATGGCGAATGCACGCGGGCTGGGGCAGCACCGGGGACGCAAGAGCAGGGAAAGGGAGGGATGCAAGAGCAGGGAAAGGGAGGGACGCAAGCAGGGGGAGCAATAGTGCGGGAGGGCATATATCAAGAAAGAGGTTTCTGCAGCTGCTTGTAGCTGCTGTTCCAGTAGGGATCGGCCGATGGCAAATGCACATGGACTGAGGGGCGGTGGGCAGGGGAGACGGGGGGGACGGAAAGAGCGGAGCAAGTGGATTGGGGGAGCATGTCAGGCAGCTCCTTGTAGCGCTGCTCCAGGAGCGAAGGGTAGAGGAGGGTGGCGCGGGCTGGAGGGCAGTGGAGAGCGAGAGGAAAGGAGGGGGGCGGTGTATGGAAAGAGCGGAGCAAGTGGATGGGGGAGCATGTCGGGCATCTCCTTGTAGCGCTGCTCCAGGAGCAAAGGGTCGATGGCGAATGCACGCGGCTTGGGGAGCGGTGGGGGGAAATGGAAAGAGCAGAGGAAGTTGATTGAGATGAGAGAGAAAGCAACTCGGGCAGCTGCTTGTAGCGGCAGGTCGAGGGCGGATGCACGCGGACTGGAGGGCGGTGGGCAGGCAGGGTGGGGGAAAGAGCGAGCATCACAGGCACATGCTTGCATGGCTGCTTCAATAGCGAATGCAAGCGGGCTGGGGCATCACCGGGCAAGGGAGGGACGCAGGAGGGGGGCCAAGAAGGACATAGAGCGCATATTGTAGAAAGCTGCTTGTAGAGCTGCTCGAATCCCAATCGCAAGCACGCCAGCCTGCCAATCCAATCCAAATATCAATGAACCACTCACAGGCCGAATATCAATGAACCACTCACAGGCCGAATATCAATGAACCACTCACAGGCCGAATATCAATGAACCACTCACAGGCCGAATATCAATGAACCACTCACAGGCCGAATATCAATGAACCACTCACAGGCCGAATATCAATGAACCACTCACAGGCCGAATATCAATGAACCACTCACAGGCCGAATATCAATGAACCACTCACAGGCCGAACAGTTCGAACAGGTCCGTACGTTTGTCCACCGGTTGCAGCGCGCCACATGTTCCGCAGAAGAACCGCCACGTCAGCGGATCGCCCTGCTTGCTCGCGCCATCCCCCCTGCCCCTCGCGCCCTCCGCTTCCGCATCCGCGCGCATGTCATCCGCGGACGGGTTGCCCTTTCCCCCCGCGCGCGCATCAGCGCCGCGATCGGCGGAACAGAGCCAGCACGCGGACGCGTCATCAGCTGCTGACATGGCCCCGCTTTCTGTGCACGCCTCGTCGTGGTGGCACGGCTCGGCGGAAGAGTGGTGGCAGCGGGCAGCCGCTTGTGGTTGTGCGCAGAACACGCTTTGGCCTGATGCTGCTGCGGAATCTGCGCGTGGCGCGGCGGGCCAAAGCGTGTGAGGCACGTGAGGCGCGTGAGGTGCGTGAGTGCGCGACACCGCTCCCAGCGGGGCTAGCGGCGGGGCTAGCGGCGGAGGCACAGCTGGATGGCAGCGGCCGTGCGGCGGACGGGCGGCGTGTTGAACATATCCGCTGGGAAACCTGAGCGACACGGATTGCGACGTGGGCTGCGACGCGGCAGGCGGCAGAGAGTCGGTGGTACCGGCGGAGAGCACAGCGGGCGAGGGGCTCGTGGCGGCGGATTTAGTGCGCGCGGCGGAATCAGCGCGCGCGTGGTGAAGTGCGGTTTGGACAGGACTCGGCGTTGACGCGAATGTGCGACCGGCGGTGCTTGCGACGAGAAGATCGCGAAGGCGACACTTGGCGACCTGCTTCAGCGAGCCCGTCGCCATGGCGGGAAAGAATCTGTCAAGGGCCGACCCGCGCAGGCTGCATGCACTGGAGGCTGCGCGCAACGGAAGCTCCTACTACGAGCATCACAAGATCCTAACCTCCTGAGTCCCTTCCCTTGCTTTGGGGGCAAGAGTGGAAGTGCGTGCTAGGCTCGCTTCCTCGCTACTGCTAGCCCTGCTACCGCTGCTTCAACTATCACTATGCACGCTTACATACAGCTGTAAATCTATGGTGCATAACATGCCAATACATTAGATAACTCTCTCAGTGTAAATTCACTCCAACAGGATCATTCTCCAATTCAAGCACTTTCACAGCATAAAACCTTTGCCTTTATTATTGAACACACTGCTGGAACACACACCTTCCATTGCAACATTGTCTCTAAGAGTGCATGGAATAATGTTGGATTACTATATACTGTGGCAATTTGCCAGGTTGAGGCAGAGGTAGCATTACGAGTTTGGAGGCAGTGTTGATGAGCCTGGCAAATGAACTGTAGTTGGCAAGGAATGCAAAATGTGCCAAGCATGCACTTTCAACTCCTTATGCGGTACCGTACTACACCCTTCATCCCTACTCATCCAGGGCTAACTTTAGTAAAATGACCCGTCTGATATCAAGACCGGGTCCTGACTCCTTGTCTGATTGTCAGACAAAAGCTGTAACATTGTCTAGCTTTTCAGACGAATCCTGAATACTTGTCTGAGATTTCTGAAAAGATATTCAACTAAAAAATATATACTACAAGAAAATCTTAGCCCTTATGGTTCAGCCAGTAGAATAGGGAGTTGTGAAAATCTTGCCTCTTACTTCTGCTAGGCAGGTGCATACATCCTCCGAGAGTTTTGCCTTCAGACAAAAAAGACTCGATATCTGCAGTCTCAGACGAACTTTAAAGGCTGTCTGAGAAATCAGATGAATAGAAAAAAACTTCTCTTAAAAATCAGACGAAATTGAACATCATGTCTACGACATCAGATGAACCAGTAAAAATGTGTTCAGAATCCAGAAATTCAGACAAAAAATGTCTGATCAAGTAAGCCCTGTACTCATCCTTATCATCCTCATCATCTTCACCATCCTCATCTTCCTCATCATCCTCATCTTCCTCATCATCCTCATCATCTTCATCCTCCTCATCCTCCTCATCCTCCTCCTCCACCTCTTCCTCTTCCTCCTCATCATCATACTCTTCACCATCGCTATCCCGACCACAATCCCTCTCCCGCTCATACTCCGCACCAACCACCGGCTTCCAGTTCTGTCTTTCCACCATGAACCACTCCTCCTCATCCAGCGTGTACCCCTCCATCAGCCCGCGATTCACACTGTGCATCTTGTCCCGCACGCTCTTCCTCCCATTCCTAAACGACGCACTGCTCTTCCCTCCTCTCGGCCCCCTCACATGCGACACCGGCCCACCCTCTACCCTCGTCCCTTTCCTCTCCCAGTACCACGTGTGCCTTGCAACACAGTACAGCGCCAGAGAGGGATGCCTCGCCCTCAGGTCTGCTAGCAAGGCTCGGGGTGTGTTGCGGCGGGTTGGAAAGAAGATGGCCCGCAGATTTGGAGCATGGATTTTCGGAGGGATGTACAGTCGAGTGGGAGCAGATCTGCGTGAAGGCGTCTCTCGCTCCAGTGGACCATAAACATCGTCATCATCATCATCAACATCGTCAACCCCAAGCTGGTTGCCAAACGGGCCTGCATGAAACCGAGTGAGCCCTTGATTCCTCATCCTGTGCTCCGTCTCCCTCCACTCCGCCTTCTCCTTCCTCCTCTGTGCTCTCGTCCATTCGATGAACACATTCCCATCTGCTCTCTCCACATCTTCCACCGCCATCTCCCCTCGCACCGGGTTCATCACATCGTAGTCGCTCGCCACGACAATCCCGAAGCTCCGCAGCCGCGGCCAGGAGAACCTGCAGGCGCCAAGGTCGATGTCGTGCCTCGATATAAGCAGCTCCACTGCTGGCGCGAGTGTCCTCAGCCAGTCCGCCCATGCAAACGGCTGCGGTGGCGGAAGATACACAAACGAGTCTCCACAGATCTCCATGGCTTTCTGAACGTCAGCTGGGATGCGGTGGGGGCGTGGCGGCAGCAGATTAATCGGACCATTGAGGCACAGCGCACGGACAGAGGCAACATTGAAGGAAGAAATATGAATCCACTCTTCCCCAAACAGCAAAATCTGGGTCAACGTGAGAGGGCGGGCAGAGCTGCAGGTGAGAGTGAGGGACTGGGCACAGGCGGAGAAGGAGGTGAGGGAGTCATGAGAAAGGGCGAGTTTCAGCTTGAGCTCGTGACTGAGGAAGCGGAAGGAGAGGCGGCGAGCCCTGGGGAACTCGAGCGCTAGCAGCACCGGTCCCTTGCAGTCCTCCCCTCCCTCCTCCTCCAGCTTCCACGGCTCGCAGAACGAAAACTCGTGCAGCTGAGGGGAAACGGCAGCCAGGGCTTTAAGGGAAATCCCCCTGGGATCCACATTTTTTAGGGTTAAGCTCCGAAGGGATTGCATCCAGGGAGTGTTGAGGCAGCTTCTACCCAAGCGCCAGGCGCCACGTCCGAGTGTGAGGGAGTGCAGGGAGGAGCAGGGAGTGAGAAAGCCTAGATTCCAATCACTCTGGCGGTAATCCTCCTCTGTGAATTTCTCTCTGATGCTCAAGCTTAGTTGCATGGCTGAGAGGGAGGAGGAGACTGGAGAGGAGGGGAGAGTGAAGGGGCGGCGAATGAGGGGGATGAGGGAGGGGTGGGAGAAGGAGAGGCGGAGGAAAGGAAAGGTGGGAGAGGAGCGGGAGAGCAGCCAGCGCACGCTGGTGGTCCACTGGGGCTGGGCGGCTGTGAGGTGCAGACTCATGGGCGTGCCTTGTTCCTGGTGGTTGAGGGGAGGGGTTGGTGGTTGAGGGGAGGGGAGGGGAGGGGAGGGAGGGAGGGAGGGAGGAGGGAGGGAGGGAGCGAGGGAGAGAGGGAGGAGGGAGGGAAAAAAGCTTGGAGTGAGCACTAGAGCTTTTCAAGATGGTTATGAAGATGGCTATCAAGAGGGATTCCAGCATGCACAGAAAAATGAGAGAGAGGGAGAGAGCTCGAAGGAGCATCTGAGAGTGCGAAGCTGCCATGCATGGGAGTGAAGGACAGAGAGTTATGCATTTAACCTAGGATTCAGAATGCAATGAAGTGTGAAGGAGCGAGACACGACAAGTGCCCCTGGAAAAGAACCAACATGGAAAATGCGAGTGTGTGGAGGGGCAGCTGTCGCGAGAACAGGGCGTGGAGGGACAGAGAACGAGTGGAGCACTCTACGCACGGAGAAGGCGGCGACGAGGTGGAACAGCCTCTTGCTGGCGAGCGGAGGGAGGGTGGGAGTGGAGGGAGTGGAGGGAGTGGAGGGAGTGGAGGGAGTGGAGGGAGTGGAGAAGGAGCATGGTTCTCACGGAGAAGGAGGCGACGAGGTGGAGAAATCTCTTGCTGGCGAGCGCGCAGCACAGCAGAGGCCACGAGGAGCCATACGTGCGAGCGTTGCGCGCATGCAGCCAGCACGGCGACACCCCGGCGTTCACGAACACGGGCACCGGTGCCACTCTAGCCGAACCATTCTCAGCGCCTCGTGAGACATTGCGGCCAGTAGAACTACCAGCACCGCCGCCACCGCCAGTGCCTCTGGAGTTGGGTTCTGCTCGCTGCGCCGTGCTGCGCGCGCGGCAGTAGTAGCGGCCGCGCGCGGAGTGCGGAGGGGTGGCGGTGCAGGGGCGCTCCAGCAGCAGGTGGAAAATGCGGTGCCAGAGCGCCGCTGGTAGCGCGTCGATCAGGTCGTTGCCCTGGTCTGAGAATGAGCGAGAGGGAGATAGGGAAAGAAAGAGGGAGAGAAATAAGGGGAGAAAGAGGGAGAGAAATAAGGGGAGAAAGAGGGAGAGGAAGAGGGATAGGAGAAAGAAAGAGGGAGAGAATTGGGGGGAAGAGGGAGAGGGAGACGAGCGGGCGAGGGAAGAGAAAGAAAGGAGCGAAGGGACGGGGAGAGAACATGATTTGAGTTGCGATGCTGGAAACGAGCGAATTTAGCTTCCACGACTACTAGGATTGAAGGTGGGAGAAAGAGAACTTCTATTTCTTGTGAGATGATGAATGAAGGTGAGTAGGAGAGACTAACAAAGATTGGAAGGGATGGACGGAAACTGCCAGTTGACTGAATGTGCGAAGCGAGAGAGAGAGAGAAATTATTCTCTGAGCAGAAGTGAAGTTCGGGTGCCTTGAGGCACGCAAACAAGAATTGAGGGACAGAGTCGCGGTAAGACCAAGCTCCGCTATGAATGTAGGTCCTTGCCTTCGGGGTCGGCGTTGTCCTGTCGCCTATCGTTCTCTCGCCTCCTCTTATCACGTCGCTCGCTCGTCCCTCTCAGTTCGCAATTCGGATCTTCAGCACCTCCCGGCGACGATGCCATGACGATCCTGTTTAACTGGCTATGGAATCGCGCTCTCGCCTCTCGCCATTTTCATCACCACGGTGAAATCTGCGCGTTGCTGTCAAAGTTTGCTCGATCGGGTGGTCATTTCTGCCATGTACGGGATTGGGATGGGCTCAAACACGAGGATATGAGTGTGCGTGGCTGATTTGTTTGGCTCAACAAATCTGTGTGAATTCGAGATGAATTGCAGCACGAGTTCAAACGGTTATTTGTGGCGGGGCGGGAGGACACGCTTCTGGTCAGAGTGAACGCGAGCGTTTAAAATTAATATTATTTTACCTTTTAACCTTACTGTCACGGATCTGTGGCGCAATGGTAGCGCGTCTGACTCCAGATCAGAAGGTTGCGTGTTCGATTCACGTCAGGTTCAAGGCCTGCTTTTTGTGCACATCAGAATTGAGAAGTGGCCATCTCTCTCCCCTCAGCCCCCTTTCTTCCATCAGCAAGCAGAGCAGGAAGTATTTGTGCTGACAGACTGATGCTGACTGCACCTTGTTTGGATAGCCCTGGTGTGGCACCTCCTTAGCTGGCATGTTGGCTGCCCTCACACCAAGTTGGGCTTCGGTGCATTGTGGGGAAAAGCAGAGGATTGTACCACTTGCTTACTGCCTTGTGAGTGTCTGCCGTGCCGACCCTCCTCAACACTGGTGAAGCCGAGAAGTTCTGCAGCATTTTCTGAAAGCTTGTCAAGCAGATGTTTGTAAGAGAGGGCTACAGCTCTTGTAAACACTCAAACGCCCAGAAAAAAAAGACCTTTTCATGACATGCAGTGCGTGTATTGGCTGCTAAACCACCCTCAGGGGGCTCCAATAACCAGGTATTGTCTGAATCAGAGCACACACCCATCCAGCACCATCTTCACTCAGGTGCACAAGGTCGCACACAGGCGCAATAATGATCTGGTGACATTTCCTTTCCTTTGAATAGCTCACTTACATCCATGACTATTTGTGTTTCGACTGGAATCTCCAAAGTGCATTGAAGTACACTTCACACTCTCCATAACTGCATCACGTCATTACAGTCTGGACCCGAAGTTTACAAACAATGTCTAAAGAAAAGAACATGCTCAGAGTTCACCATTTACTTATTGGGCTGAGGTGCCCTAGGATCTTTGTAGAGTTTAAGTCTGACTAAAATTGTAATAGCGGAAGCGTTGAATAAAGAGTGCTTGAACCACCTTGCGCTGGTATGTGAGGGCAAAGTAAGTTGATTAATGTCAAACATTATATATGTTCTGCTTGTGTAGGCTACAGTGGGTTAGCCTATAGGAGGTACACAATTCTAGGGTTTCCTACTTGTACTCATTTTCACTGCTAGTTCATTCATTCCTGTTCGCTTATTCTCACATGGTATAGAGCGGGTCCTTCTACGGACCGTTTTTTTTTGGGCCCACCGAAGCGCCCCCCGAGGCGCGATTTTTTTAGCGACCCCTCGGGTCGTCATTTTCCCTGCGGCCCCGCCGCTTTCACTGACGCGGCCCCGCCGCCCTCTCTGACGGGGCCCCGCCGCCGGCCCTTACGCGGCCCCGTCGCCGGCTCTCACGCGGCCCCGCATCAGGCTCTGTCGCGGCCCCGCCCCGGCCTTTACGCGGCCCCGCCGCCTGCTCTCACGCGGCCCCGCCCCGGCTCCTTCGCGGCCCCGCCGCCTGCTCTCGCGCGGCCCCGCCCCGGCTTCTACGCGGCCCCGCCCCGGCTTTCACGCGGCCCCGCCGACGGCTTTGTCGCGGCCCCGCCCAGGCCCTTACGCGGCCCCGCCGCCTGCTCTCACGCGGCCCCGCCCCGGCTCCTTCGCGGCCCCGCCGCCTGCTCTCGCGCGGCCCCGCCCCGGCTTCTACGCGGCCCCGCCCCGGCTTTCACGCGGCCCCGCCGACGGCTCTGTCGCGGCCCCGCCCAGGCCCTTACGCGGCCCCGCCGCCTGCCCCCCGTCGCGGCCCGGTCGCCTCCTGACGGCCCCGCCGTCCCTTCGTGACGGCCCCGCCGTCCCTTCCTGACGGCCCCGCCGTCCCCTCCTGACGGCTCCTGCCGTCCCCTTCTACCGGCCCTCCAACTGCACCTGCTGGCCCCGCCGCTGCACCTACCGGCCCCCACCACCCACCCTCCCTTTTCCCATCGCCTGTCGAGGCGACCTGAGGGGGCCGCTTGTGGCAGGTGTGTGGCCTCCCCTGCTTCTCCTCCTCCTTCATCGCTCACCTGCAGCAGCCGAGCCGCCCCACCGCCGAGCCGCCCTGCACCCGAGCCGCCCAGCAGCCGAGCCGCCCTGCCGCCGAGCCGCCGGGTCGCTGAGCTGCTGAGCTGCAGTTGCTGCCGAGCCGCCCTGCCGCCGAGCCGCCGAGTCACCGAGCTGCTGAGCTGCAGTTGCTGCCGAGCCGCCTTGCCGCCGAGCCGCCTGAGTCGCCCGAGCCGCCGAGCTGCCGAGCCGCTGAGTCGCCGAGCCTACTCTTCCCACCACTGGTGAGCTCTTGCCCTGCTAGCACGCTGCGCGTCGCCTGCTTGCCTGCCTGCCTGCCTTTTGGCTTGCCTGGCTGCCTGCCTTCCTGCTGCTAGTCCTAGTCCTGCTTCTACTTGCGGAGCCAGATGCAGCCCCAGCGACGCCTGCGTGAGTCCCTCACGCCCCAGCAGCTGCGTGAGTGGTACGCTGGTTGGGGCTGTAGGGGTGGCGACGCTACTCCTACTTCCACTCCTGCTGCTTCTACTCGTGGTGGCGGCCAGATGCAGCTCCCGCGACCCTCTCGCGTGTCTCTCACGCCTCGCCAGCTTCGTGAGTGGTACGCTCAGAGTGGAGGGTCTCTCAGTGCTGTTCGCTGCTCTTACGTGATTCGCACTGGTACTCGGACTGGTCAGCCTTGTGGGACACCTAGTCATACACAGTCCCGCTGCTTCGCCCGTCTGAGCGACGCCTGGCGTACCGTGTTTGGCGACGAGGCTGAGCTTCCCGACTGGGTGGAGTTGCTTAGGCAGAGGGTAGATATATTTGCTCTTGACTATGATGCTATTCTCACTGCCATGTATGCATTGCCTACTAGTGCTGACCGTGCCGGTCACCTGTGCGTCCCGCCTGACCCAGGTATAGGACCTGCTGCTCTAGCTACTGGTGAGGCTGCTGCTCTGGGTGCTAGTGAGTCTCCTGCTCCAGGTACAGGTGCGGCTGCTGCTCTAGGTGCTAGTGAGTCTGCTTCCTCAGGTGCGGGTGAGGCTGCGCTCTCAGGTACCGCGTTGGCTTCGGCCTCCCTCACCTTTACACTTGACTCTGGGGCTTCTCGCTCCTTCTTTCGGGACCGCACCACACTCACGCCGCTTGGTCGGCCGGTTGCAGTCTCCCTGGCTGACCCCTCTGGGGGTCCTGTCCTCGCTCACTTCTCCACTGTCCTCCCGTGTCCGGCTGCCCCCTCGGGCACCCTGTCTGGCCTGTACCTCCCCTCGTTCTCGACGAAATTGGTGAGTGGTGCAGACCTACAGGATGCGGGGGTTCACCAGTTCACTCCTGCGAGTCAGCGGGTGACCCACTGCACGGACGCACGCACAGGCCGGCACCTGGCCACGTTCTCGCGCCGGCCGGGGTCGAGCCTCTACACCCTGACCACTGAGTCTCCTCCTGTCCCCGCGTCCGGTCAGGTAGCAGCGTCGGGTCAGGTGTTTGCTGCTGCGTCCAGGTCTGGTCCTGAGTCTGCCCCCTGTTCGTGTCGCCTCCTGTCTCACGAGACTCTTCTGTGGCACCACCGTCTAGGCCACCCCTCCTTGCCCCGTCTTCGGGGCATGGCTTCCCGTGTCCTTGTCTCTGGTCTTCCCCAGTCTCTCCCTCCCCTTCCTTCGGGACCAGGACCTTCCTGTGTCCCCTGTGTCGAGGGGCGCCTCAGGGCTGCTCCTCACTCCTCCCAGTTTCCCCCGACAGAGGCTCCTCTGCAGACGCTTCACATGGACGTGTGGGGCCCGGCCCCCGTCCGTGGGCAGGGTCACGAGCGCTACTTCCTGTTGGTGGTTGACGACTACTCGCGTTACACCTCAGTCTTCCCCTTGCGCAGCAAGGGTGCTGTCACTGAGGTGCTGATCGACTGGATCTGCGAGGCTCGTCTCCAGCTCAGGAGGAGCTTCGGCTCGGACTTTCCTGTTCTGCGTCTGCACTCTGACCGAGGTGGGGAGTTCTCCTCTCGCCTTCTGCGAGACTACTGTCGTGCACAGGGGATCCGCCAGACCTTTACGCTTCCGGACTCTCCATAGCAAAATGGGATTGCTGTGCGCCGCATTGGCATGGTCATGGATGTCGCTCGTACGTCCATGATGCATGCGGCTGCCCCCCATTTTCTGTGGTCGTTTGCGGTTCGGTACGCGGCGCATCAGCTCAACCTTCACCCCAGGGTCTCTCGGCCCGCGATGTCCCCAGTGTTACTGTGGACGGGGAAGGTCGGCGATGCGTCTGCGTTCCGTGTCTGGGGATCTCGGGCGTTTGTCCACGACTTGTCTGCGGACAAGCTGTCCCCCCGTGCTGCTCCCTGTGTCTTCCTTGGCTTCCCCCCTGACGCTCTAGGGTGGCAGTTCTACCACCCCTCCTCTCGTCGTGTTCTGTCCTCCCAGGACGTCATGTTCGACGAGTCAGTCCCCTTCTACCGCCTCTTCCCCTACCGTACTCCTTCCCTCCCCCCCCCACCGGACTTCCTGGTACCAGTTCCCCCCCCGGTAGACCCCCTCCCCCCTCAGGTTCCTGCCCCTTCAGGTGTGTCCCAGGTAGACACGGTCGAGCCAGTCGAGGTTGCTGCTGAGTCTGGTCCTACTGCGGGTGCTGAGCCTGGGGGTGCTGCTGCTGGGGGTGCTGAGCCTGGGGGTGCTGAGCCTGGGGGTGCGAGGCCGGGGGGTGCTGAGTCTGGGGGTGGTGAGCCGGGGGGTGCTGAGCCGGAGGGTGCTACGTCAGGAGCTGCTGAGCCTGGGGGTGCTGGGCCTGGAGGTGCGGAGCCTGCGCCTGCTGGACCTGGGGGCTCTCCG